CTAGCAAACAGAATTCAGCATCATATCAAAAAAAAATACACCACGATGAAGTGGGATTCATACCAGGTATGCAAAGATGGTTCAACATTAGAAAATCAATCAACGTAATCCACCACATAAATAAAAGAATTACTCAATCATTTCAATAGGTGCAGAAAAGGCTTTTGAGAAAGTCCAACACCCATTCCTGATAAACAGCTCTCAATATAATAGGTGTAGAAGGGAAATTGAACAACATAATAAAGGGCACCTATACAAAACATAATATAGGGCATCTATACAAAACCAGGAAACCCTGGTGGAGTAGTAGTTAAGAGCTACAGCTGCTTACCAAAAGATCAGCAGTTAAAATCCACCAGGAACTCCTTGGAAACTCTATGCAGCAGTTCTACTCTGTCCTGTAGGGTTGCTATGAGTTGGAATCGACTCAATGGCAATGGGTTTGGGTTTTTTTTTTAATATAAAACCAACAGGCAACATCAATCATAATGGAGAGAAGCTGAAAACATTCCCATTGAGAACAAGAACAAGACAAGGATGCCCTTTATCATCACTCCTATTTATCATCGTGCTGGAAGTCCTAGCTAGAGCAATAAGGCAAGAAAAAGAAATAAAGGGCATCCAAATTGGTAATGCAGAAGTAAAACTGTCCCTGTTTGAGGATGATAGGATACTATACATAGAAAACCCAAAAGGTTCCATGAGAAAACTACTGGAACTAATAGAAAGATTCAGGAGAGTAGCAGGATATAAGGTAAACATACAAAAATCAGTTGGATTCCTATACACCAATAAAGAGAATGACAACAAGGAAATCAGGAAAACAATACCATTTATAACAGTCCCTAAAAAAATAAAATACTTAGGAATAAATCTAACCAGGGACGTAAAAGATGGATACAAAGAAAACTACAAAACACTACTGCAAGAAACCAAAAGAGATCTACATAAATGGAAAAACATACTATGCTCATGGATAGGTAGACTCAACGTTGTGAAAATGTCAATTCTACCCAAAGCAATCTACAAATACAATGCAATCCCAAATCAAATACCAACAGCATTCTTTAACAAGATGGAAAACCTAATCATTAACTTCATATGGAAAGGGAAAAGGTCCTGGATAAGTAAAGCACTACTGAAAAAGAAGAAAAAAGTAGGAGGACTCGCACTACCTGACCTCAGAACCTACTATACAGCTATGGTAGTCAAAACAGCCTGGTACTGGTACAACGACAGATACGTTGACAATGGAACAGAATTGAGAACCCAGATGTAAATTCATCCACCTCCGGTCACCTGATCTTTGACAAGGCCCCACGTCCATCAGATGGGGAAAAGACAGTCTTTTTAACAAATGGTGCTGGCAAAACTGGATGTCCATCTGCAAAAAAAAAATGAAAGAAGACCCCTACCTCACACCATACACAAAAACTAATTCCAAATGGATCAAAGACTTAAGTATAAAACCAAAGACTATAAAGATCATAGAAGAAAAAAAAAGGATCAATGCTAGAGACCCTAATACATGGCATTAACTGGATACAAACTATAACTAACAACATACAAACTCCAGAAGATAAGCTAGATAACTGGGATCTTCTAAAAATTAAACACTTATGCTCATCAAGAGACTTCACCAAAAGAGTAAAAAGACAATCTACAGGCTGGGAAAAAATTTTTGGTGATGAAAAATCCAACAAAGGTCTAATCTCTAAAATCTACAGGAAAATCCAGCACCTTTACAACAAAAAGACAAATAATCCAATTAAAAAATGTGCAAAGGAAATGAACAGACATTTCACCAAAGAAGACATTTAAGAGGCTAACAGACACATGAGGAAATTCTCGCAATCACTAGCCATCAGAGAAATGCAAATCAAAATCACAACGAGACAACATCTCACCCAGACAGTACTGGCACGAATCATAAAAACAGAAAATAACCAGTGTTGAAAAGGCTGCGGGAAGACTGAACCTCTTATGCACTGCTGGTGGGAATGCAAAATGGTACAACCATTTTGGAAACGATATGGCGCTTCCTTAGAAAGCTAGAAATAGAAATACCATATGATCCAGCAATTCCACTCCTAGGAATATATACTAGAGAAATAAGAGCCATCACGTGAATAGACATATGCACACCCATGTTTACTGCAGCACTGTTCACAAAGCAAAAAGATGGAAACAACCTAGATACCCATCAACAGATGAACGGATAAACAAACTATGGTACATATACACAATGGAGTACTACACAAGGATAAAGAACAATCATGAATCTGCGAAGCATCTCACAACATAGATGAATCTGGAGGGCATTATGCGAGTGAAATTAAGTCAATCACAAAAGGACAAATACTGTATGAGACTACTACTATAAAAACTCATGAAAAGGTTTACACACAAAAAGCAACAATCTCTGATGATTATGAGGGAGGGCAGGTGTGGAGGTGGAAAAATACTAAATAGACAATAGATAAGTGGTAACTTCGGTGAAGGGTAAGAGTACACAGTACTGGGGAAGCCAGCACAATTTGGACAAGGCAAGGTCATGGAAGCTCCATAGACACTTCCAAACTCTCTGAGGGGCTGAATTACTTGGCTGTGGGCTGTGGGGACCATGGTCTCAGGGAACATCCAGCTCAATTGGCATAAGATAGTTTATAAAGCAAATGTTCTACAGTCTACTTTGCTGAGTAGCGTCTGGGGTCTTAAAAGCTTCTGAGCAGCCATCTAAGATACTCCACTGGTCTCACCCTATCTAGAGCAAGGGAGAATGAAGAAGATCAAGACACAAGGGAAAGATTAGTCCAAATGACTGATGGACCACAAGTACGACAGCCTCCACCAGACTGAGTCCAGCACAACTAGATGGTGCCCAGCTATCACCACAGACTGCTCTGACAGCGATCACAGTAGAGGGTCCCAGACAGAGTTGGAGAAAAATGTAGAACAAAATTCTAACTCACAAAGAAAAAAGCCCAGACTTAGTGGTCTGACAGAGACTGGGGAAATCCTGAGAGTATTGCCCCAGACACTGTTTTAGCTTAGTAATGAAGTCATTCTTGAGGTTCACCCTTCAGCCAAAGATTAGACAGGCTCATAAAACAAAACAGGACTAAAGGGGCACACCAGTCCAGGGCACGGACTAGAAGGCAGGAGGGGACAGGAAAGCTGGTAATAGGGAACTCAAGGTCGAGAAGGGGAGAGTGTTGGCATGTCGTGGGGTTGGTAACAAATGTCACAAAACAATGTGTACTAATTGTTTAATGAGAAGCTAGTTTGGTCTGTAAGCCTTCATCTAAAGTACAATAATTAAAAAAAAATACAACCCAATCCTGTACATTGTGTCCTGCCTCATTAACGTAACTGCCTATAATCTTGCCTCATTAACGTAACAGACAGCTCACTCCCAAACAGGATCACAACCATATCATAGGCATAAAACCCGTTGCTGTCGAGTTGATTCAAACTCATAGCAACCCTATAGGACAGAGTAGAACTGCCCTACAGAGTTTCCAAGGAGTGCCTGGTAGATTCGAACTGCTGACTTTCAACTGCTACAGTTAGCAGCTGTAGTTCTTAATCACTATGCCATTAGGGTTTCCATAGGCACAGAGGTAGGATTTACAACACATAGGAAAATCACATCAGATGACAAAATAGTGGACAATCACACAATACTGGGAATCATGGCTTACCCAAGTTAATATACATTTTTGGGGGTCACAATTCAATCCATGACAGTCTCTCTAGTGTCCTCTTATAAGAGAAGCTCATCCCTGCTTTCTGGCCTCACTCATGGTATTTTTCCCCTCACCTAAATTAGCATTCATCTTCCCTCCTCTCATCCGAATACTACTCGTTCCAAACAGCCTGGATAAGTTCCACCTCAGTCAAGAAACTTTCTCTGAGACCTTGATCTCCTTCACTGTGAAATACTAAATCTAATAGTTTAAGACTTCTTTATATACTGTCTTGAATTTTTTTCTATTATTTTTCTGTATTAGCTTTACCTCTTCAATTAGATTTCATGCTTTCCGAAGACAACTCTGGGAATACAGTATTATTAAATGGGTACTTCTTAATTGTCTTAAAGAAGAAAGGCAAACAGAAAAAAGACTACCCTACTTTCTTAACTCCTGTGCTTCTGAAGCACTTTTGAGATGTGACCAAAGTCCCTAATAGTCTGGATTTTGAATGATTTATGATAAGAATTTCTTCTCTAGTGAAAACAAGTTCTATGTACTTTGGCACTATAAATAGGCTTTTGGAAACCTATATATATATATAACGATACTGAAGTGACTGCTTCCTTTCTGTATCTCTGTATATAACAGCAGAGACATAGAAAGGAAGCAGTCACTTCAATATTGGCTCTAGTCCTCCAGGAAGTAAGAAACAATAAAGTGTTTCACCAAGTTGCAAGTATGCAATGTCAGGAAGTCCATCCAAAAAGGGAACAATAAACCAAAAGCTTTTTCACTTTTCCCTGCTAGATTTTACTGCTTCAGTTGGCTAGGCCTTGGAAGAAGCCTGGGAATGTATAAAACCTTGATGTTCCACCGGAGTAAATATGACAGATGCAGTGTTGCATTACTGTCTTAATAATAAACTGCATTAATAAAGTTCCTGCAAATTGACCTAGAAACCAGTGATTTAAAGTAGTTCCCAACCAGGTTACTGTGTTAACAATTTTTTAATCACAACATTCAAACTATCTAAAATATTCTTGTGTATTAGTTTATTTGCTACATATTTATTGTCTGCCTTCGCCTTCTAAAATATAAATTTCTTGAGAGCAGAAATCTCATTTGCCATACTGACCCCTGTATCCCCAGTGCTTAGAAAAGTGCCTTGCACAAAGTAGGAGCTAATAAAAAATTGTTGAAAGAATAAATGACAAGTAGCTCTCCAGTGACTCTAAGAATCTGAAGGGCTAAATATATGATTTATTTCAAAAAATGCATTTGTTCTTTGCCTCAAACAGCTCTTACCAAGCATGGTGTGTGAGATGGGGAAGGTGATGATGGGCTGCCCTGTCATCCTCCAACGGCTACAGAGGTAGGAGAGGTCTGTTCTAAGCATTTCCACTATCATCTTGTTGTCCAGAGCCAGGTAGAACTGTTGCTGGTCTATGAACTGAGAAAAAGAAATATAACAGCTCTGAACAACTTACTCTCACAACTATCAAATTATATTTTAAAGTCCTCACTTATTCACACGGTCATACATGATCATGATATCACAGAGGCAACAAAACCCCAAAATTTAATTTCCAATACTTCTCAATGTATCCAGTGGTCAACTGGTACATATAATAATAATTTCTCACATTTTTCAGTGTGCTACAGTTTACAAAGTGTTTTCAAATGCATAATTTCATTTAATCCTATAACAACTCAGTGAGGGCATTTCCTCCATTAATTGATGAAAAATAAGGCCTTAGAAGTTAAATGGATTAGCAAAGACATATGGCTAGCAAATGTCAAAATCAGGAATGGCATATTTGGTCCTTCGTCTATACTTCAACTGCACTATTTCAGATGTAAGATGATATATAAGACATTTAATCTTTCTTTCCAGAAAATAGTTTATCTTCCCCATACATACATATAATAAGGCTTGCTATTGTACTGTGGCTAATAAACATCAGGGTAACAATGTATATAATCATGGCTAAAACATACTAACATACCTGTTTTTAAGATGATAATCAAATATTTCCTTGCATGTAAAATGGATCCCCCACCCCAAAACAACGAAAACCACATAATTCGGTAGCTGAACAACAACAAACTACTGTATTTTGTTTATAAGAAACAAATATGGTCTTATTTTTAATTTTTAAAAGTACAGAATACTTTTGTAAGCATTCCAACATTTGTAAAACCCCTAAACACTGTTTCTGCAATGCCCAGGACTACTCTGTGTAGTCACAATCACTTGGCGTAGCTCTGTGCTGCAAGTTCAATTCAATTCAGCTCAACAAATATTATATTTACTGAGCGGCTTAATATGTATAAGGCCCTGTGGATCTCTTTTTGACACTTGTCCCATCTCCAATAAATGCTTTACTTCTGCAATGTTTCTCTTTCATTTCCATTCATCTCAACGAACTTTCCGGCTTTTTCCACCCACCTGCGGAGTGAAAGTAAAGATAGTTTTTCGAATATCATAGAGTTTTGAAGTTCCAAGGACTCCCATGTGTCTGTAGGGTCGCCCACTGAGCTTCATTCTACTGTTGCATCCTAAGACAGAATTGAGAAACAGTCAAGGTAAATTTTAGTGCACAAAACAAATCAGCAAACACCTTTTTGTATTGGTTCACACTCGTTCACTGAATAAACTAAGTTCTATGTCTCAAAATTCGTGGCCATGTCATGTGCAGGTCCACACTAAGCACTGAGGGCTCTACAAGACTAGGTAGTCATCTCTGTACTTAAATAACTTTATACTCTTATAAAGAAGCCATGTCATCTACATATTAGAGACAAGAATGAACATTAAAAATTAATAGTCCTATGAACAACAGAATTCAATAGTTAATATTTATACACTAAATTTCATTAAAGTCCATGAAGAATGCAAAAGCTATACTGAATATAAAACTCATCAATGTAAATTATGTCTCAACAAAGCTGAAAAATCACCTCATCAGCTGCCATTTTGCAAACAAAGTTTTTTTAGTTGTTTTTTTTTTTCCTTTTATAACATAGGATAACACTATACACATTATTCTAAAACTTTTTTCCCGAAAATACATCTTGGCTATCCTTTCATATTAGTACTGATAGAACTACTGCTTTCTCTCTTTTTATTTTTTGGTAAATTTGTTGTAATATACATGAGGCAATGTTCACGAATCTTAAATGTAAAAATTGATGAATGTTTACTTAGTAAACACACAACCAAAATCAAGATATGGTGTATTACTAACACTGTAGAAGCCTCCCTTGCTCCCCTTCTTAGTTATTAATCTCCCACAGCTCCCAAAGTTAACCGCCATTCAAACTTCAATAAATAGAAGTTGTCCATTTTTAACTTTATATTAATAGAATCATATAATATGTACTTCTTCGTATCTGATTTCTTTCACTCAGCCTACGTCTATGAAATTCATCCATGTTGTTGTATATACTATTCGTGCATTTTCATTGCTGTAAAGTATTTCGTTGTATGAATGTATTAAAATTTATTTATCCATTCACCTGTTGATGGACATCTGGGTTGTTTCCAGTTTTTGGCTATTATAAGTAACCCTTTGCTGTCGAGTTGATTCCGACTCATAGTGACCCTATAGGACAGGGTAGAACTGCCCCACAGGGTTTCCAAGCAGCGGCTGGTGGATTCGAACTGCCAACCTTTTTGGTTAGCAGACGAGCTTTAACCACATATTATTGTTGTGTAGGAGGTCCCCAAGACCACCCTCAGGTTCAGTGATTCACTAGGAAAACTCACAAGAAAGCATACAGACATAACCAATGCTAAGATTTATTACAGTGAAAGCATACAAAGCAAAATCAGCAAAGGAAAAAGATGCATGAAGCAAAGTCCAGAGGAAACCAGGTACAAGCTTCCAAGAGTCCTCTCCCAGTGGAGTCACACAGGATACACTTAATCCTCCAGCATCAAATTGTGACAACACATGTGAAGCACTGTCTACCAAGGAAAAGCACTTGAGCCTCCAGTCTTTGGGGTTAGGCACCTAGAAACCCTCTGCCTAGTACATACCAAATTCGACTCTCAGAAGGAAAGTGGTATTCAGCATAAGCCATAGTTTGTACAGTTTAGACACAGTAAACTACTCTTATCACTTTGGAATGGTGGGAACACTCTCAAAATCCAAGTTCCCAGACACCAGCTAAGGGCCAACCTTGTAAGCAGGCCTTTCTAAGGACAGTAGTCTCAGCCATGTTATTTTAACTCTTTTCTAAACACTTGTTCATGTCTTTCAGTGCATTTATGTTGGGTACATATCTAGTAGTCGCAATAATGGGTCACAGGGTATACATGTGTCCATTTTTAGCAGATAGTGCCTAAGAATTTTCCAAAGCGGTTGTACCAATTTACACATCCACCAGCAGTGTATGGGATTTCCATTTATTCTGCATCTTTGCGAACACTTGGTATGGTTGGTCTTTTTAATTTTAGCTACTCTAGTAGGTGCGTAGTGGTATCTCATTGTGATTTTAATCTGTAATTCCCTGATAAAATAATAATAAATAAGGTCAAGTATCTCTCTGTATGTTTAGTGGCCATCCTCTTTTGTAAAGTGACTTTGGTTTTCTACTGGGTTGTCTATCTTTTTTTATTGATTTGTAGTTCTTTATATATTCTGGATATGAGTCTTTTGTCAGAAATATGTATTACAAATAAGATCTCCCACTCTGTGGCTTGCCATTTCATTCTTAATGGTTTCATTTGATGAACAGAAGTTCTTAATTTTATCAATCAGTTTTTCTTTAAGTTCAGTGACTTCTGCGCCCTATTTAAGAAACCTTTGCCTACCCAAAGTCACTAAAATGTCCTCCTATCTTCTAAAAGCTTTACTACTTTTCACATTTGGGCAACAATCCATCTGAAAATAATTTTTTATATGGTACGGGCTAGGGGTCAAGGTTCATATTTTTTCAGATAAAGAATGCACCTAGGGTCATTTAATGAAAAGAAAATCTAGTCCCCATTGCATTCATATGGCAGTATGTCATAAATCAGGTGGAATCTATGCTGTTTCACTGATCTGGTTGTCTATACTTGTGCCAATACCATACTAATTGTACCATTATAATAAGTCTTGAAAACAGGTTGTATAAGTCCTCCAACTTTGTTCTTGTTCTTTAAGACTGTATTGGTTATTTTTAGCCCTTGTCATTTCCCTATACAATTGAAAATTACCTGTCAACTTCTACACAAAAATCTTGTTGGGATTTTGATCAAAATTGTTGAAATTAAACAGAACTGACATCTTTACAATACTGATTCTTCTAATGGAGGATAAGCAAACTTCTTCTATAAAGAGCAGTGCTATATTTTAGGCTTTCCAGGCCACGTGCAGTCATTGTTACATACTGTTCTTTATTTTGTGGTGTTTTTACAACCCTTTAAAAATGTAAAACAATTTTTAGCTCATGGGCAATACAAAACAGGTCACCAGCTGGATTGGTCCATAGGCCCTAGTTTGCCAACTCCTGTACTAATCCATAAACAAGGTATATCTCTTCCTTTGTTTAGGTCTTCTTTACTTTCTCTCAGTAATATTTTGTAGTTTTCAATGTAGAGGTATTATACGTCTTTCATCAGATTTATTCCTAGGTATCTGATGTTTTTAGATACTATTCTAAATGATACCATTTTTTAAAAATTCATTTTAAAGTTGTTGCTAATATATAGAAAAATAGAAGGTTTTTTTGTGAATTGATCTGGTGTCTTAGTTATCTAGTGCTGCTATAACAGAAATACCACAAGTGGATGGCTTTAACAAAGAGAAATTTATTTTCTCACCGTCTAGTAGGCTACAAGTCCAAATTCGGGGTGTCAGCTCCAGGGGAAGGCTTTCTCTGTCGGCTCTGAGGGAAAATCCTTCTCATCAATCCTCCCCTGGACTAGGAGCTTCTCTGCGCAGGAACCCCAACGGACGCACTCTACTCCCAGCGCTGCTTTCTTGGTGGTATGAGGTCCCCCCTTCTCTGCTCACTTCTCTTTTATCTCTTGTAAGATAAAAGGCGGTACAGGCCACACCCCAGGGAAACTCCTTTTACATTGGTTCAGGGATGTGACCTTAGTAAGGGTGTTACAATCTCACTCTAATCCTCTAATCTTGCCTCGTTAACCACAGGCAGAAACTAGGAATTACAACACATAGGAAAATTACAATCACAAAATGGAGGGCAATCACACAATACTGGGAATCATGGCCTAACCAAGTTGACACATATTTTGGGGGGACACAATTCAATCCATGACATCTGGTATCTGTTGTTGTTAGGTGCCATTGAGTCGGTTCCGACTCATAGCGACCGTATGTACAACAGAACAAAACATTGCCTGGTCCTGCGCCATCCTCACTATCACTGCTATGCTTGAGCCCATTGTTGCAGCCACTGTGTCAATTCATCTCATTGAGGGTTTTCCTCTTTTTTGCTGACCCTCCACTCTATCAAGCATGATGTCTTTCTCCAGGGACTGGTCCCTCCTGATAACATGTCCAAAGTATGTGAGACGAAGCTTTGCCATCCTCGCTTCTAAGGAGAATTCTGGCTGTACATCTTCCAAGACAGACTTGTTTGTTCTTTTGCAGTCCATGGTATATTCAACATTCTTCACCAACACCATAACTCAAAGGCATCAATTCTTCTTCGGTCTTCCTTATTCATTGCCCCGCTTTCACATGCATATGAGATGACTGAAAACACCATGGCTTGGGTGCACCTTAGTCTTTAAAGTGACATCTTTGCTTTTTAACATTTTTTCACACTTTAAAGAGGTCTTTTGCAGCAGACTTGCCCAATGCAATGCATTCTTTGATTTCCTGATGGCTGTTTCCATGGGCATTGATTGTGGGTCCAAGCAAAATGAAATCCTTTACAACTTCAATCTTTTCTCCGTTTATCATGATGTTGCTTACTGGTGAGAATTTTTGTTTCTTTATGTTGAGGTGTAATCCATAGTTAACACTGTAGTCTGATCTTCATCAGTAAGTAGTACTTCAAGTCATCTTCACTTTTGGCAAGCAAGGTTGTATCATCTACATAACGCAGGTTGTTAATCTAGCAACCTTATTAACTTAATTCTAATAAGTTTATCTGTAGATTATTTTGGATTTTCTACTTACATAATCATGTCATCTGTGAACAAGAACGTTGCTTCTTCCTTTCCAATTCAAATACTTTTTATCTCTGTTTCTTGCTGCACTGGCTAGAATCACCAGTATGATGTCAAAAAGAAGTGGTGGTCGTGGGCATCTCATGAATCTCATTCTCAATCTCAGATTGGGCAGAACTTTTAATATTTCATCATTAAGTATGATGTTAGCTGTAGGTCTTATCTGTACCTTTTATCACATTTAACAAAGTTTCCTTTGATTTCTATAGTTTTTATACAAGTGGGTATGAAATTTAACCAAAATTTTCGTATCTGTTGAGATGATCTTTTTTTTTATTATTCCATTTGTGGTGAAATATATTGATTGATTTTCAAATGTTAAACCTCCTTTGCATTCCTGCGCAAAACCCAACTTTTTCAGGATTTA